TGCATTGAATGAAAATTACAAAAACAGGAATTTTTCATTAGTAAAATTTACTGCAAGTAAAAAATAAATGATATCCTATTTATAATTGTTTACGTTACCCAGATGAACTGCTTACTTAATAAACATGTCAAATTTTTCATCCTCGTTGGGAATAGGTGTTAATGTTCATTTAAAAATCAGCTTTCATACACTGAATTATAAAAAAACGCAACTATTTTTCATTGAAGTACTATTGAATCACGTCTCATATCTAACTAGTAGTAGGTATGATAGTGAACTTGTAAAATCTGTTGTAATTAGCAGCAAAACCTTTATTTTTCAGTGCGCCCTCGTCGCTACCGAATGTGGCACTAAGTCAGTGGAAAAATTGCTGAAGCCGTCTCGGTATTTCCACTTTCTGGGAATGTTTTAGCCTCCGAGTAGTCACCCCAGTCACCTCCTGAAGGAGGGGTAATGCCTAGCACGATGGTCTCATCCCTGGGGCTTGAGGTAATATTATTTTTAAAATTTTCCTAGCAAAACTTATATTATTATGAATCAGAATCGCTCTGCCTCTCTGTCTATATATCTGTCTGTCTGTCTGTTTGTTTATCTATCTATCTATCTATCTATCTATCTATCTATCTATCTATCTATCTATCTATCTATCTATCTATCTGTGTGTGTGTAAAGAAAGAGGAAGTAAGGGAAAATAGAGAGATGGTTATTCATAGGTAGAGAAATGTACGTTATTTAAAAATATAAAAACCATGTAATCTGAGCATGCATTCGAGTAAACTGTATACAAATAAATAATAAAAAATGAGAGAGAAAAAAGAAACATTGAAAGTTTATACATTTATATATATTGTTGAGAAGGAACTTTGAATATATTATACAAATTTATAATATATCCAGTGTAACCCGGATATAAGAGAGTTGTCGGGACCGGAGAAGAAGTCTCTTATATCCAGGTTTCTCTTATATCCGGGTTTGGTCTATTTTATATACATTAACACAGGCTCTAATTTGGGACCAGAGAAAATCTCTCTTATATCCGGGTTTCTCTTATATCAGGGTCTCTTATATCCGGGTTACACTGTAACACGAAAGTATATACTAAGTAGATTCATTGACATTCTTGTGTGTATGCTTCAAGTTTTTTCCATATGTTTGTGTCCCATATAAATTAAAAAAAATAATAGTTTTCTGAATGATTGGAAATTATAGAAGTACATATTTCTGCTATGATCAGTCTTTTAGTCTTAATATTGTTCTGTAAAAAAAAAAGTTACTTTTCTCAGGAATCATGCGAGGCTTAAGAAAGCCCTTCTGTACTATCGATCACAGAGTCACCAGTGCAAAAAAGGGCGGAAGCTGTTGTTGTCAATGAGAATGCTATTGACCATAATGATGGTTATTGTGATGATGAGGACTATGAAACAGAAGGCACGATGCTAGTCAGTTAAATGGACAAACAAATAAACAAATTTTAATAAATAAATAAATTATTAGTGAAAAAAAAAAGAATAACCAATAGAAAATAAAGAAAGTAAATGCCAAGTTGATGCTGATTATTTTGCTGCTGGTCATCATTATAATTATGATAACGATGATTCTATTAATGATGAGGTAACTATTGACAAGCCAGCTGCTGCTGTTATTTTAGTAAGAAAAAGAGAAAAAATAAAAATTAAAGCATTAACTGCCAAAATTAAACGGGCGCAAGAAAATGAAGGTCTCGTTTGCCTCGGTGAAAACGTGGTGATGACAACTAACTAAAATGTTAATGACGGTCGGGAGGTAGCCGCCATATTGACGCGGTTGGGCTGGGCGACTGTGGTTTGGATTTGTGGTTGTAGTACTGCGATGAGGTTTACCACGTATTTGCCAATTCGTCATGTTCCTACTTCTTTGCCCCTGAAGGCCAAATAAAATTACACAAGCACACACATACATGCAGAATGCATATATTGACTTACTGATTCATCATTGCATATAACAGTAGACGCACATTAACACTTTACTGCGCATGCGCATTCTTATTTTCCTAACAATACTCTCCCCTTGTCTCTGTATTTTTTTTACAACTGCTGCGTTCATTTTTTTCTTTTTCATGTAAAAGAGAGCAGAATAAATAAAAATTAAATAAATACTAAAAAAGAAAGATAAATGACACTGCGGGTGCACTGGTGAGCATAGGTGGCACTGGAAGCTGCTGAGATTGTTGAAAAAGGCGGGGAAATGGGAGAAGTGTTGTCAAGAAAAGTGGTTTAGAAGGCAAACAGGTAAAAGTGCAAACAAAAGTAAAATAGGAAAGAAAGAAGCTCACTGATTTGAAGAGGATGACTGGTTCGTGGGGATCAGCGGAAATGAAGAATCAAGAATGAGTGACGAGTAGTAGAAAACAAGAAGAAGAAGAAGAAGAAAAAGAAAAATGATAAAAAGTTTGAAAGAGAAATAGACATTTATATAAGAGGAGGATAGAAGTGTATGATAAATGAAAAAATAAATAAAGAAAGAAGGAAATTTCTATAGAGAATGATTAAAGTCTGTTGAGGAGTGTCGAGGATAGATGTGAAGAAGACGTTGTTTAAGGATAGAAGGGAAGACTGGAGGCAAAAGAAGACAGAAAAAGACATAACAGTCGAGGAGAAAATAAAGGGATAAAATGAAAAAGAAAAGAAAATTGAAATATACACTGAGAGATATATTAGAGTGTTCAAATGAAAAAAAAATGGAGGAAATCAAGAGGACTAGGTTGTCATGTTTTAAAACAGTGCTTCACACCTAGAATTGAGACAGTCTTTATATCAGCCTAGCAACAAAATAATCTTAAGATACACAACACAGCAAATATGTGCGCAGAGGCATTTGCAGGCGCAGTAAACTTGTCTGCATCAGAACACACAGAAAACTTAAAATCTTACACACGAAGATAAAATTCTCTTGCATGTGTGTACATGTGCAAAATTAGAACTATCACTCATGTGTTTATTATACATGTCTGATGAACACTATTAGTAAGTTGCTGTTTATGTAACCCATGATATAAAGGTAGGATTTATTAAACAAATACAACAAAATGACGCAGCAAATTCTGGCGGTAGGCAAAAAGAAGGAATAATCATAGCTACTCTAACTGCGAATGAAACCGGTTTACATCGGAACGATTTCAGCTTTTCAGATCAATGTCCATTGACTTTATCTCTATACCTCCCTACCCACGCAAAACCGTTCGCATTTCTCATTAACAAACTGAATATTTCTGGCGGTAAAGAAAATAACTTGATAATTTTGTAACATTTCAACTAGAAAATATTATTTGGTCTGAAATTTGAACATTGATAATCAAACAATATTTATTATAGGGGATAGAAATAAATAATATCCAATAACAATGTGCTTTGATTAATATCCTCATACACGACGTGGTAGTAAAAACTTTAGGGATTTTAAACATTTTCAAGATCTCATGCGAGTGATCCACTAAGAAATAAGAATAAAATTCTCAAATTTTGTAATTTTTTCCTGTAATTTTTTCTGTATATATATATATATATATATATATATATATATATATATATATATATATATATATATATATATATATATATATATATATATATATATATATATATATATATATATATATATATATATATATATATATATATATATATATATATATATATATATATATATATATATATATATATATATATATATATATATATAAATGTTTAAGGAGTAAATATACCCACTTGTGCAAAGATACATACATATTCATAAACCCCTTCTTTGTTTCAAATAAAAGCTTAAAGCAAACAAGTAAATCTATTTCTTGTGTAAATAATTCTATCTTAATTTTAATAATTTCATGTTAAGATGTGCTATTTATAATGACTTATAGTATTAATGCCAGGATATTATTGCTTCTAAATTCTTCTGTAATAAAATTGTTCATTAAATTGTTAGATAAATGTGAAATTCAGAAAATCATAAATACTTGCATACATTGAAAACAGATAAAAATATTAAATTAATAATTTCTTTGAAAATAATATACATTCTCTCTTCTACTGTTTAATTACAACACAATATCACTTTCCGGTGTTGGATGTTATCTAGCCATTTAAATCATGGACTGATGTTACACTTTTGTCACAGTTATCATTCAAATGTCCACTTTATTTCCATTAATGGAATACAGTCTATTCTTTCACTCAAACGTTTTTGTTTGCAATCAATATTTCTTATTTAACAATGTTTATTAACCTTTTAATAAAAAAAAAGAAGCTGAGTAAACTCAAATACTAGAAATATTTATAGTTTTTGTTTTTAGAGTAGTAATTTTCATTAGGTATATATGTAACATTCAAATCATTATTTGAAATAGCAGGAGTAATCTTATTTACGGCAGTCATGTATTGAAATATTAATTGCAGTAAAACTAAATTCAGTATTCTTTGAATATGAAAGCTACAATGAAAGAACATGATTTTTCTGCACATAAATTAACGTTTTAATATTTGATTATATATTTCATCTATAGAAGCCAGAAATATCATCTCGTGTATTTTTGACTTATGAAAAATACAAATGGAAACTCCGACTTGGTTTTTTCCTGTTATTTTAGATCGATTTCCTTCAATCCTGTCTACATCTTTTTTGCTAAAAGTGGATCTGATAAAATAAAAAAGAAATACTCCTCATACATGAATAATAAATCGCGAAGCTTTTGTTGGTTGGTTGATTTTGTTTAGCGTCATATCAACCTCTGTGAGTTATTTAGTTCCGAAATCTAAATTTTGTACGTAAATTTGTTTTTTGGGAGATAATAATGGGTTTTAGTAATAAAATCTTACTAATTATTCCATAGCTGGGGAGAAGAGGTGGATTATACCTTTCCCAAGCGTATTTGCGCGTAAGTGAATATAACAAACCCAACTGGAATTCGAACTCGGTTCTCCGATTAACAATTCCGAGTCATTATCCATTACATCAACCGCACATCCAAGATTACAGTACCTGGTATTCCCAAGCGGTCACCCATCTAAGTACTGACTAGGCTGAACGTTGTTTAACTTCGGTGATCATACGGGAACAGATGCTTCAATGTGAAGTAGCCGTAAGCCAAGATAAGCTTTTCTAAATTTTGAATCCAGCAAAGACATATCTACAGTTGAATGCAGAATTTATTGTCACCAGTTCAAGTTGATTATGTATTCAACTTACTGGACAATCATTGTAGGTTATTTGCTGACAGAGGTTTTCAATAAAGCTTTAAGTCAAATTTGTATAACGCTAAATGGCGCTCAGTGTCAACATCTGGGACAGATCGATATAATATTAAAAGTTTTGTTACTCATTGAATGTTGCCTGTCAGAATCAAGCTATTATAATTGGTATGAATCGAATAAATTACCCGCGCAATCAAACATAAAGAGCTATCAAGGGCGTAAATTAATGGTCACTTTATCTCTGTTGCTATCAACCAGTTTTCAAGTTTAGGCAAATTCTTGGCTGAGATTCTGGCCTTTGTGCCTCTTCCAAACTCTAATTCTACAAAAATATTACCCTATATGGTAATACGTACAAATGTTATGATTCAGTTGGTAAATGTGATGAAATTGTAAAAAAGTTAGTTCCAGCTATTTCCGGATTGTTGAGCTCTAGTTAAAGTGGTCGATTTTGAATTCATTTGATTACTCGTTCTATCATTATCACCATTGTAAAAGGTTATAGCAGTTGCTTTCACATGACCAATTTTAGATCAATACTTTGAACATATTTCATTGATTATTTCTGACTAATTATCAGCTATATAGATATAGCATTCGATATATGTATAAGCGACTGAGAATTGAGGTTGTATAACAGAGATGCATTTGCTGGAATGTATCTTGAATGACTTCTTACTTCAGGAAACAAGGATACCAATACTCTCGCCCCATGAAAGTAAGTATATTGCCAATTAAATTAGGTTTTGTGAGGAATGAATAGCCAATAAGAAATGAGTTTATACAACATTCATTAAATTCCGTTCGCTGTTAATGACACAAACCTAAAATAGATGAGAATCAATCAAAACGTGATACTATAAAAGAAAATATATTTGCAAAATATTTTCAGGCGAAAATAGAAATTCTGTGAAACTAACCAATCTAATGATATAAGGTATGAACTTTAAAGTTCGTGTACTCTCTCTATATCTCCCCGGAAATGTGCATACACACATTCTGATCGATAAACATAGACGGACATAATATAACACACACACACACACTAGAAATTATCTTTGAAAGACTTTGTCGGGACGAGAACTTTTCAGCAAGACTTATATATATATATATATATATATATATATATATATAATCTGTGTGTGTGCAATGGTAAATATATTCATATGTATTTACGTATGTATATATATATATATATATATGTGTGTGTGTGTGTGTATGTGTGTATATATATATATATATATATATATATACATATGTGTGTGTGTGTATGTATGCATGTATGTATGTGTAGGCAACCGTAAAAATATGAATATGTATATATAAGCATATATAAGCAGACACATAAACATGTGTGTAAATTTAGGCGTGACATAAGAGGTTAAGTGTATACATTCGAAGACTCTTGTAGATATAATATTAATTGCTACATACCAATTTTCTTTAGTGGAAGATGAAAATTTCTCGATTCACTCCATTTCTCAATATCATTTTTGAAATAACCAAATTTAAGGATACAGATTTGACAAAGTGGTTTGCTCTGAGTACTTTACTGTAGCCCCTTGTATATAATCATGCATGCATAGAAGTGAATATCTTTGCGTGCGTGATTGTAACAAACAATTTACACCTATACTATTATGCAACGCATATCTACATTCATGCACACATATTTATATAGATATGTATATATGTATGTATGCCAGAATGACGCTCCTATGAAAAATAAAAAATAAAAAAAGATTAATTAGGTTTTTCAGTTCAATATCCTCATTAGTGCGACTTCGCCTGTGTTATTAAGAGGACCTCTGAGTCAGGAACAGACAGGTTCAGTTCCTTATCGATCTCTGAATTTTCTTTTTTTAACACAAATTACTCATAGTTATTGTAGTTTTATTTTATTTGGGTGTGCAATTTTTTACTTTTTTTTTTTCCTGCGGTCATTATTCATAAAGTAAAGATGACGGCTTGCTGCTTGTTTTCATTTCCCGCCATTCCGTTCCCATGGTATTTCAGGAATGCGCGCCAAAAGTCGATTTGGCGTTTTTCGGACTTTTCGTCCTTCTTCAGTTCTTCGATCCTTTTCTTTTTCCCCTTTTAGCACGTCCCATTAAAAATTTCTTTTTCTTCTTCTTCCTTATCCTTCCTTCCAGTTATCGTGCATTTTCTTTCTTTTTTTCTCACATGCTTTCTTGTTTCATTATTCCCTTCTTTCCTAGTTTGTTCGTCATTGTTTTTATTTTTAATATCTATTTCTTAGTTGAATTCGTTTTTTAATATAAACATGATCTTTCAAACTGGTACTTATGAATAGTTTTAAAATCAAAACATTTAAGCGCTGCATTTGGAAGTCATTTATGAGAAGTCTGCAATATATGAGTGAAAGTGTGTAACGTAGCTGATTGATGTTATCTTTAACATCCCGACACTAAAGTTTCGTAGGCGAACAGGTCCGTCCACTCTTCAGTGGGTATCAGCAATTTACTGACTATATTTTTCGATTTTTTATTATACACTTATCATTCATGTAAAATTTTTCCTTCTTTTCGTGTTCATGTATGCGATTGTGCACGTGCAGCCATAAGCCCGTCTGTGCAGATGTACGCTCGTGCGCGCACGCCCTCCTGCGCGGACGAGCGTACGTGTAGGGTGAGGTAATCATTTGTCCTTTTCTTCCTTTTTTCACTTTACCTTCGCTCTTTAGCTTTTCTTTTTTTTTCCTTCTTCTTCTTTTCTTTCAGTTGTTGTTTGTAGCGAGTTGTCACGGATCTTGATTTTGTAGCGTTCTGTTTTGTTTTTTACTAGGGAAGTTGTATTTCTTTTTTACATAAATAATTGATATTAATGCTTAACTGATATGATATATATATATATATATATATATATATATATATATATATATATATATTAATGCATGTTTCATTAAATAATATAGACAAGTTTTTGTCCATTTATTTTAATCAAATTCCTTTCATATCGTCTTATAAACTTAATAACATTATCATTGAAAGACGAAAAGAAAATCACATATTGATACATGTTTTATATATATATATATATATATATATATATATATACATATATATATATATATATGATATTCTATAGATGTGCACGTGTGCTCATACATAAGCGTATAAATACAGTCATATGCAAATAAATTCAAATAATAATAAATAAAAAATATTATAAAACTAAACTAATACAATTAATACTTATGATACCACATAATCAAATAAGAAAACGAAATAATAAGCTAGTGGATATATATATATATATATATATATATATATATATATATATATATATATATATATATATATGTGTGTGTGTGTGATTGTTGTTATCTATCTACCAATTTCATTCTGTTCACATATATTTATCTCACTCTGTTCCCATCTATCTATCTATCTATCTATCTATCTATCTATCTATCTATCTATCTATCTATCTCACTCTGTTCGCATTAATCTGTCTTATCTGTTCACATCTATCTGTCTATCCATCTATCTATCTACATTGAAATGAAAATACAATTAAGCAGAATCAGAACCATGTAAAATTTTCATTGTTTATTTTTAAGTTTTCCAAATTTTAAATACAACATTCTTGAAATTTCTTGCTTATTATATATTAATTTTTAAAAAGTGTATTTATGCATTTATTAATTAACTTCATTTGTTAAATTTTTATTTATTTCATATACACATTTATTAATTGGTTGTCTTATTGATATTCGTTACATATTTCTTTTATTTATTTTATTATTTACAGATTTTTCGAGCTTATTTCAGCGTTAATGAGCGCATGTGCTCCTGCCTACGTGATTGTCTCTCCTCACGTCAGCTTTTTAGAAATTAATTAAAAGGATGCTTTTCGTAACGTAGGATAAACTATTCTTGAACATAGACCATTTATACTGTGCCAAGTTAACAGATATTTTTCAGGAAATTAAATTAAAATAAAAAATCGAATAAAACAGGTTAATTTACTGATGTTCCGCTGTAAAATGTATATATATAGTCATTTATATTCAGATTTGTACACTGAGGCAAAATATTTTCTTGGACATTTTCAGAAATCATGCATTCAAGTTATAAATTCATTAATAAAGACAACAACTTGAATTACGTAGATTGTATGGTGAGTACTTAATATAGCAATATTATAATAATCTTCGGAAACTGTTACTAGCTCAAAAATTCAGATTCCTAAAACAGTTTTAGTAAATTCTAATCATTCTAATGCTGATGCCAACCAAAGTTGATCTGAATACGATGAATGTCTTAGAAACGATTTATTGGGAGTTCAAAAGAAATGTTAATATATAACATGCACGTGCACACACAAACATAGGCACAGGCACATCTCTCACCCACACGTAAAGAATTTGAAAGATATCCTCCTCTTGACCAAAATGGGATTAAAAAGATGTTGATTGTTGAATATCTCCATTTTGTTTAGAAAGTTGCTTATGTCGAGAATTTTTCACCATCCCATCATATATATATATATATATATATATATATATATATATATATATATATATATATATATATATATATGTATGTATGTATGTATAAGTGGGCATCCTTGATTTTGAGCACTTTAACACTGAAATATAGCCTACATTTGAAGTATATTTTATCATATATATATATATATATATATATATATATATATATATATATATATATATATATATATATATATAGTTCAGTTGTTAGATTAAGCTTTGAACCGTTGATTCTTAGAAATGATTAAAGATATCTCACTGGAATTCTTCGAGAGTTTTATAATATTATTGGACTCTACTTTGAACAAGAATGTATTTAGCACTAAATTGAAAAAATGATCCCTCTTTTCTGTTGTGACCTC